GAATGCCTTTTCTTTACCAGTGCAGGAGCACGAAGCTAACTCACCTGGGAGAAAGCAGGCTAGGCCCGTGCATTCTCACCTGCAAGGAAATTAGAAGACTGCTTTGTCACTCCGCATGGCTCATCTTCCCTTTCTAGGGACTTGCTGCAACCCAGACCACCTGGAAGCCTCAGACTTTGACTTTTGCTTTTTCATCACCTTTGTTTTGGCAGGGAATTGTTTTGCTTTGCACTGACATTTTTGTTCTGTGTGTTAGTTTTCCCTAGACTCCTCGAGAACTTAGTTGAAGGTCAACAGATTTATTGGCAAGCATGTTGGATTGTTCATTATAAGGCCACATTTCAGAGTGGTGGAAATTAAATTATCTGGAGACCAAACAACTGGGATGGTCTAGCCAGCCAGAAATGGGAAATTATTTTGCTCGGACTCCATGGAGTCCTGGTCAGCCAAGGTCACCCTTAAGTGGGCTGGGTGGTTTAGGGGTCCTGCCTGCTCTGTCGCTCCAGCCGTTCATTACTGTGTGAGCTGGGGTGGCACGCCTTGGGAACTGAGAGGGGATGTGGCCATCTGGACTCCAGGAACTGGCAGCCTCTGGTAGAAGTGGCTTTGTTCACTCTTTTAAGTGCCTCACTCTCTACTCGTGCCTGGGACTCAGAACTGTCACTCCAAATGACCCAATCTCTCTTCCACACTGGCCTGTTCCTAGGTCTGTGGCTGTGCCCAGTTTCCAGACTGTAGCATTGGCAAAGGAGCAACCAGTGTGAGAGGCGTAGGAGACGGGAGGGACTGTCACAGCCTCGGGTCCATGCAGGGCAGAGGCAAGGAGGAGGTGGAGCTGCTACCAGCTTTATCCATTAAACACGACATTATGTTTAAGGAAAAAGCGTCGGCCCACGTGTTATATAACTGGTTAGGAAAGAGGAGTGCAGGGATCCGTGTTTGCAGCTGCTGTGGGTTGGAAAACATGCTTCACAGGACATGTGAAGTCCTACACCTGGCACCTGTGAATGTGACCTTGTCTGGAAACAAGGGCTCTAGGGTCTGACTACGTTCTGATGAATTTACTTTGGAGTAGAGTGGGCTTCCCTTCAAGTGATAAGGACAGCACTATACATAGGCAGAAACAGAGACGGGAGTTGTCCTGCCGCAAGCCAGGAATGCTGAGGATCCCAGTACTTGGAGGAGAGCGCAGCTTCTCCTTCAAAACCTCCAGAAGAAACCTGTGCACACCATGACCTCAGGCTTCTGGGCTTCAAAACTTAGAGAAAATAGATTTTTTTCCAGCTCTTTTAAATATTTTAAATTTTGAGACAGGGTCTCATTAAGTCACTGAGTTGCTCAAGGTGGGCTTAAATTTGTGGTACTCCTGCCTCAGCCTCCCAGAGTGCTTGGATTACAGACATGTGCCCCCACATTCAGCTTACACTTGTAGTTTCAAGCCACTAAATTTTTATCCTTTGTTATCACAATCCCAGGAAAATAATACACAAGGGATACACATATATTTTGAAGAACGAGTTCTATTTTGGAAGCCATATTATGGACAATATATTGAGGGGTATCTTGTGACAATAACATAACAATCCATTTCCCTGAGGTCTGCCAGAGCTCTTACTAAACTAGGGAAAACATTAAAAGTAGTGTGAAATCTGTTTCTTTTTAAAAAATAATATATTTATCTCCAAATAAGGGTATGTGGTCTATGATTTGTTAATTATTGACAGTCAAAAATGCATTTCTGTTCTATTAGCTTTTCTAAATGGGAGAAAATGAATCAAAGTGTAAAGTGTTATTTGGGATAAGGTTTAGAAAGGCTGTATAGGCAGATAACGCAGTCCTACATTAGCTGACATCTTTGGCTTTGAGAAAGTGCTGAGGAAAATGCTGAAAATACTACCTACCACCTTGTTGGTGGAAGTATGAGCCTAAGATGTTAACTCCAGGTCATGAGGAAGGAGGCTCTACTCGAGAAAAACTGTACTGCGTATCCTGAGGTAAATGAAGATACATTGCTTTTTGATCACAGGACTTCTGAGGGTCTGTGGTGTGCTGTTATACTTCACGAAGCAGGGTTATGTTACCATAGACTCTTTTGTGGAAGATGTTTCATGAAACTGGGCCTCCAGGGCCTCACTGTGAGGATTATGAACCTCAGAGTGTTGCCACTGCTGGTGCTTTTTGGGTCAGTTTGGGATGGATGGGGCTCCCTCTGTTCTGTCTATATTTCCATTATTTTCCCCTACCTTTTGTTTGTCAACCTTTGACACATCTCTGCTGTAGATACTTCAAGTTACCATATAAAAGACCCACTGATTCTTTTAGTATCAAGTCAGAAAATCATTATTATTTATCCTCAAAATCATTTTTGTTTTATTTGCTATTGATATAAAGCATTATCCTGGGATGACTCATAAACAGCTGGTGCTCAGTTAATGAAAGTGGCGATGTCATGTCTTGGTCACTTTTCTCTCATTGCTGAGACAAAACACCCAACACCCAAAGTTAAAGAAGAAAAGATTATTTAGCTCATAGTGTGTGGAGGTTTTAGTCCATAATCAGCTGGCTCCAAGGCAGGATGGCACATGGCAGGGGGGTAACAGTTCAAGGCAGCAGAAGACAGCCAAAGCAGAAAAAGCAAAAGAGGGAAGAACAATCCTCTTTTCCTCACTTATATTGTACGCAGGCTAAACCCCCACACAATCTCCTGCCTTCCTCTTGCACAGGATGAGGATGTTTATAAAGTGAGGACCCTGACCCCTCCCTGCTGAGTTAAACTTCTAAACTTCTCAAGTTGACACAGTGTATCAGGCATTACATCATATGATCACACAATATTAGAGTCAGTACAATTTCTTTCTTTTTTTTTTCTTTTTTTTTTTTTTTTTGTGGTACCAGGAATCAAACTCATGACCTCATCCTTGCCAGGCAGGCACTGCACTGCTGTGCTATATCCCCAGCAGTACAATTTCTAAGATACTTAATGTACTGAAAGAGGCTTAACCACTTCAAGAATTTGATTTAATACTTTTATAAATAGACTAGATGCTTGACAGGCAAAGCTACTTGTTCTTGTAAGCAGCACCAAGTTGACCAAGACTGATAATATTGTGTAAGGCCAAACAGGAATGCAAAATAAGAACAATCAGTTTTACAGAGTAATGTGCAGTGCATAAAATGAATTTTAATTAGGGTACTTGTAAGACTGTGTAAAATAGAATAATTAATTGACAAATGCAACAGAAATAGAAACATTTACAAGGACTGGGCCACAGAAAAAGGGGTTTTAAAGTCACAGCCAACCACAGATTCAGGCTTTGCTGAACATACCCAAACGGGCAGCCTCTGGGCCATCGATTCTTACCAACCATCTGGACCTCATCCTGGGGATTCTGACTGCCACATCTAAGAGCTGTTAGCCCCAGATCAATGATTTTACTCCATGAGGTCTGTGAATTTCAGATATTAAGACATAGAATTATTACCTTGAGTGTGTAAGCATATTCTCCCTACAGTCTATTTAAAGTCAACTTTCAAGGGCAGCTAAAGGCCAGGGAGTCTAGAAAGTCTCCTCTCCCGTTCCTGTAGGTCATAGACTACATCACTCAACTTGACACAAGATGACAAACACTTCTGACAGACAATAACAGCAGCAGCTTTGTGTATCAGCCTTGAATTTGAAGTTTGTAAGTTCTTTGAGGTCAACACCCAAGTATTGCATGTATTTTGTACTTAGATCAAAAAAATGTGCAGTCAAAAAAATCAGTAGGTATCATCAAACAGAACTTAATAAAGCTAATGATCACAACCATATGAATAGTGCCCCGTAACAGCAAAATGATTGAAAGGGTGAAGAATTGAGAAAATTCTGTGGAGATAGATGAATATGGTTCTTATCTTTTTTATTTTTGAGCTTACTTTTCTTGTTAAGAGATGGAACCTACATTTACTTTTTATGTCCATCTTATCCAATGGTGAAATTTAATGTATCCATAAAATTTTCTTGTATGCTTAATTTAAATAAATATAAAGCCAGTATTTAGTGAAGTTTCATGTAAGAGTCCTCCTTCAGGATTTTTAGTTTTAAGTGTTACAAAGCTATAAAGAAAAAATTTCCACTGGGCTAAAATGCTGTGGTGCTAGATAGATTTTTATTATTTTTAGTGCTGAACTGTTGCCTGTGCTTTATTAGAATTCTAATATATTATCCTAATGTTTCTGTAAATTTAACTTAATTGGTCTCTGATCTTTATCAAAGTTGCTAATTGAAATAAAATTCTCGTATTCCATTGTACTATACATAGAGCAATGTGTAAACCCCCTCAGCCTTTGTGAGACATAGGAGATGTGATAAAAATATGGTAAATGTTTAAATCTAAAAAATGGTTGGCTCAGTAAAAGACACACGGCCATTTACTCCTCTCAAATTTCCCCTCCACCTGCTTCACACACACTTATGCCGTCATTTTTTCACTTTCCAAAGCAGTTCTGTAAGTCCTTTCTCTGAAGTGTCTTTTCATGGCTGCCTCAAAGTCCTAAATTGATTCAAAATGTTTATGGCAACTTCTGTGAAATATAAATACTATGCTGTGTCTTCACTGACCTTATTCACTAAATCTGGCACTGTACAACTTCTAGTTTCTCTCCAAAGTCAGAATGACCACAAAAAGTAACATTTTGAATCAATTCAGAACATGGAGGCAGCTACAACAGCACAACTAGAGACATTAGTGAAAGAGGACTTCCAGAGCTGCTTCAGAAAGTGGTAAAAACAATGGGACAAGTATGTTCAAAGGAAGAGGGAGTATCCTGAGGGAGATTAATGACAATGCTTCTTTAACTGTAAGAAGAATTAAAAGTTTAATCATTTAGTGTATTTTCCATCACACCTTCCATGTGGCTGAAATATTATTTGGAACCAATGCCAGTCTGAAGGGCTTTTGCTACATTAGTAGTTCCCTTGGGAAAACAGTCTGAGTCACTGGATGTTGTTAAATCCTCAGGCCATGGGACCTGTGACTGCGGCAGGTGCAAATGTGACCCGGGATGGTCTGGGGACGCTTGCCAGCACCCGACCAACTGTAACCTCACAAAGAAAAAAAGCAACCAAATGTGCAAGAATTCTCAAGATATCATCTGCTCCAACACAGGTAAGAATTAGACCTTAGGAAAATCCTTATGGGAAAAAAATCACAGGTTTTTTTGTTTTGTTTTGTTTTGTTTTGTTTTTAATGGAAATACATAGGTGAGAAAACAGGTCGAAACTATGAGACTGCTTTTAAGTGTATTTTTAAAAATGAAATTCAGATCCATCAAAAGGAGAAAAGCTGTCATCTTGCTGAGACTGGCAAGTTTGATAATCTCCAGCTGCTTCCAGTGCCTCCAAAGAGCAGAATATTCTCAGGGAACAACATCCGACAACATTTTAAGTAAATCGAGAGCCAAGATTTTGAATGCTGGGTTAAATCTTTTTAAAAGGATTTATGTAACTGACTTAATTAGTCTCTGTCACACATCAAGGTTGCTTTGAATTTATACCTTAGCATCACATAAGACCAAATCTTTTTAATTGGAGAGAAGTTTCGTACACACTGATGTGAAATTCATTGAGGGATATATAGAGACAGTGACCAAAATATCTTGTCACTGTATTTATTTTGACCAAAACATTTTATATTTCATAGGAGCCATTTAAAGATATTTCTTAGAAAATTACAGGGAAGTTGTTGAAATTGATTAGCAAAACCATGTAAAATTAAAAAAAGTGGCAGTTTAGATTTCAGTGGCATTTAGCCCTAATTAAGCATTTTTAACGTTTGGGTATAGGGAGCTTTAAATCTGTTTTTTTCCAACCATAATTATGCATGAGAATCCCAAAGGGAAAGGAATAAAATGTTGGTGTTTGATGTTATCTGCTTCAGTTGCATTGGGATGTCTCCTGGACAATGGTGGGTTTGAAATTCTGCAGAAGGGATCCCAATATAAATCCAGGGGTGAGAGGCATTGTTCTACATGCTCAGGTTGAGCATTTGACTGCCTGCACAGATATCTTCCCCCAGAAGCCTGCATTATTGGCATATATATATATACCAATATATATATAATTATAATATATATATAATTTTTTTTGAGATAAGGTGTTACTAAGTAATTTTCTCCAGGCAAGTCTCCAACTTGTGATCTTCCTTCTCAGCCTTCCAAAGTGCTGGGATTACAGATGTGCACCAACACACCAGGCTCCTATTTACATATTTTAAATTAAAAAATATGCAGAAATCTTTTAATAGATGATCCAACATGTTTGGTAAAATATAAAACATATTAAAGATAGCTGAACCTCTATCTTTTTTTAGTCATTGACACAATACTTGCACGTAATCTACCATCCAGTTCAGTTTCATCAATTGACTCAACAATGTCCTTTAAAATACTTTCCCTTCCTTAGAAGATCTAATCTAGGTTCAGTGCTATGATGGATTAGTCATTTCTTCTAACCTCTTAATCTGGACTATTGATAGAGTTTGGTTTTATAGCCTTGAAATTTTGAAGAAGATTGTCCTAATCTTTCATTTTTGTAAGTAAAATGTCTCCTCACAATACGAATATATTTATTCACTTGATCAATCTTATACTACATCTAAAGTTGACTTTAGAATTGCTCCATACACACAACAATAAATGATAAATCCATCAAAAAAACCCCAGGTTCTCTCCACCCTAATCATCCCCAAGATTAGGGTTATTGTTAAATGGTATGTTAGTAAAATACTTGGATTCCTCTGATGCTCTTCCTTTTAGTGTGTTTATGGTATTTGCTTAAAATATAATAGGGATTATTTATTTCATATTGCTTTCACGTTTCATTTTTTCTTCCTTCCCATGATTCATTAGTACATTTCTTACTGTACAGAATACAAACATGCCTGTAAAAGTCAAAACTATGAATGCAAGTGTGGTTCAAAGAATCATGACCTCTTCTGCCCTGCTTACTCTCAGTTTTATAATTAATCAACTCTGTTACTTTCTGCTTTACCTGTGCATATGTTTCCATTTATAAATATAAATATACGTATGTATGTCTTATTATTTCTCTCTACCCCCTATATAAAAGGTACCACATTATGCATTTTTGTAGTCTGCCTGGTTTATCTCCTTCAATTCACTCCATATCAGTTCAGAAAAATCCTCACTTTTTTTTTTCAAAAGCATAGAACTGAATTATTTTCATGTGACATATTTCTTCAGTCAGTCTTGATGCTTGAGCATTTAAAGCTTGCAGTATTTTGAAACGGCAATAATAATGCATAGGACAGTCTGGTCTATCTATATTTTCATGTTTTGGGGAGGTATATTTTCAGGGTAAATTATGAAGAGTGATATTACTGGGCCAACTGGTAAATTTATATTCAGTGTTATACCCATTTCCACCTACATAGTTCAGGACCCTCCAAACTGCATTAGCTTATAAGTTCCCTGATCTTTTCTAGATCACACTGTGGTCCCCTGGAAGCATCTTGGATCAGAAAGGCACGAGGAGGTAAATGGAGTATGGTGTAAGGCCTAAGGGCAGAATTAGATGGGCCTGGGGATCCAGGAGTTCCAGAAGCTAACCCTGTAGGGGAGCCAGACAGGTGACAATGTGCAGAGTGAGGTGAAGATGCAGAGCCTTGACGTAGGATGTGGACTGGTGCATAATTCTGATCAGTCATCCTAGAAGGAGCCAGCTATATTAGGCAGCATGCAAAACCAGAGCTAAAATAACCCAGTGTAAAGCAGAAGACCAATCCTAGAGAGTGAGTTAACTGGCAACCAAGAAAGAGAATCAGGATGACACAGCATGATCACAGGAGTCTGGCACTTCTGCCTGGGCTTCCATCTGCCATATTTCGGAGGCTCAGTTGTGAATTCTGCGGGATGGGTGAAGCAGGAAGTCTGCTGTAAACTTCCCAACCAACCAAGAATGATTGGTGTGTGTGGCTGAGAGTGAGCCTGCCCGTGGGGAACAGATGTCAGCGAGGAATTATAGAATTTGGAGGCAGAAGCTGTTCCTTGCCATCTTTCATGGCTGGGGGATTTCTGGCTATGCAACCCTAACAGTTACTCTCTTCTTTGGAACCACGGAAGGCTTCCAGCATTCCAATAGATAACCTGAAATCCTTAACCAATATGCTTAATCTCTGCTATGTGCAGTAGTTCTATCCTTTTGTCCAAAGCAAGCCAGTATTTCACTGGCTGTTTCTCAATATTCCATCTTTTTTGCTTATTTTAGGCATTTTCTTCGACATTTTTCAACATCAAAAAATCTCTTCTTAATCTCCACTTGTTGGAATTTTATGCATATATCGTATGCCAACTCAATAATTTATTCCTTCGCTATTCCTTTCCTCCTTCAAGTAACAATATAGAATTTTACTCTTGATAGCACTTGCCATAATCAGATACAAATTCCTGTGTGACATGCATCTTCTGTATACATGTAATACTATATCTATCTACCTATCTATCTATATATTATAGTATTCTATATATAGTTTTTATAATATATGGATGTAGGTGGATCTCTCTTTAAAAATGTTATGGCTTGTATCTAGATATCCCCCCAAAGCCTCATGCCATCATAGGTGGGGCTTTTTGGAGGTGGCAGGCTCTAGAGTGTGTGATGCTGGGAGTAAGGATGTGGTGCTGGCATTGATTCATGGTGCAATGCTATGATTGCGGGTGTGAGAGCTCCCTGCCCTTAGGGGTAAACTATAAGGAACAGAAAGAGGGCTGCGCTTGTCCTTGCTTGTTGCTTGTCACTTGCTGCTTGCTGCCTCACTATTTTCTTCCTGGCATGAACTGTTTCTCCTCTGCCACACCACCCTGCTTTGCAGCCAGCAGACTATGAACTGAGACCTCTACAAACTTTGAGACAAATAAAGCTTTCCTCTTTTAACTTTGGGTGTCAGGTATCTTGCCTCAGCAATGAGAAAAATAACTACAACAGAGAATAGATATTTTCTAATTATATTTTTCTCTCTGGTCTATGACTTACTTAATTTCATTTATCTTACTTACTTTCCAGTAACACAATGTGTCACAAAGAAGTTTAATAACTAAATATGTGGGTGGTTGTGAGACAGAATGAATAAATGTGAATATATAAAAAGAATGGTAATATAGAAAAAATTACATGAGACAATGTGGTGGTAGCACCAGATTTCAAATAATATTTTTATAAATTAAAATCATCTTCAGAAATAACCCCACACAAAAATGAAGTTTAATATGAGTCAGATTCACATGAGTATTCCCATGGTAGGAAATAACAAATTCAAATTCTGTAATAGTCACCATTTGTAGGTATTTGGAGAGGAAAAAACTCTTACAGGTAATAGCAAATTGCAAGTGATCTGGGTAACAGAATTGTACAGAAGGCATGAAAGGAAGGTCATTGTCAGGGACTTGAACTACAAGCTGAGTCTGGAGAAAGAATTTAGAATATGACTAAAATATTCAGTATCTTAATGGGAGAAGAGGAAGAAATCAACAATTTATAAAACCGTACTATGGACTGAAGCCCAGCAATGTTTCAAGGAAGATGAGTGTGTGTCATATTTATTACTTGGTCCTCATTCTATGAATTAGAGACTATTTGCAATTGCAATTATGAAATCTGCCACTTGGAGTTCAAACGGTTCTCAAAAATGGATAGTCAGTGAGTATTAAAACTTGGATTCAACTACTAGTCTAACTTAATCTGAACCATTCTCTCTCCAGTTTATGATATACAGTACAGGATAGCTAATATCCCATTGCTCCAGCCAAATATCATTTATGATTGCTCCTTTTCCTTCACCCCTGACTCCTATTGGCCACAAGATGTTGTGTTCTTTCTCCTGAAGACATTCTCGAATGTGCTTACTTCTGTCTAAACCTATTGTCCTCATTTGTCCAGCCTCCACTTTATTTTTTCCTGCGGACAAATGTAACAGCCCCTTAACTCATTTTCCTGCATCCGCCTTTGCCTAATCTGCACATGCCAACTAGTGCAACATGGTATAAATGCATACTGATCATAGGATCCCTTGCTGAGAACGCTACTGGACTTTCCCACTTTCAGATTAAAGTTGTACATCTTTAAGATGGTTCAGAAGACTCTTATACACTTTGCTTTTAGTTACCTTTTTATGTAATGACGCTTTTCTCATGATTTCATATAATTCCACTGTATGTGATTGTTTCTGCTTTCATTTTCTTTTACCACCTAGGTTTTGCTGTTGTCTCTTCCTGGCATTGAACCTTTTCACCATCTTACTTTTCTTGATAATACTTTTTTGGGGCTTGGCTCTTAGTTCTCAGCTGCTTCCTTTGGGAATATGCCTTTGACCTCCAGCTCTCAGCTAAATCCCTTTGCTGTGTGTTTCTGCAACACTTTGCACTTCTCTATTTGTTTTATCACATTGATTTCTATTCATATAAGGGTCTGAGAAGAGGATTACAGCTGACTTGATCGCTGTTGTATTTCCAGAATCTAGGATTGTGTCTGGCTATGGACAAAGTCTTAATGTTTATATGATGATTGCTGTATCAATTAAAAATTGAAAAATAAATATTAAAAAAGAAGTTCCTCAGGTTGACGTCCTACCTCTAAATATCACTTTAGTGCAATATTCCCATCAGTGAAATCAAACACTCTCGGATGGGTATGTGGCTTGTGGTAGACCAGATGACTCCATTACCTCTGTATCACACTGAGTCACTTTGAGACCCTTTAAAGTCCCAAAGATCTTCATAAGAGAACCCACTATGGTCCTGTTACCAAAAAAGAACAAAGGTACCAGTTAATGCTGAGGATGTGAAAATATTAGGGACACACAAACTTTTTCATTTATGCATTTGATATTGAATTATTTCCACAAATATTTATTATGGAAATCACATGTTCAAATATTTTGCAAAGCATTGAATAAATACTGTTGAGGAAGATAAGCAAGATTACTTCCATCATAAAGCTTGGAATTTTCTGCTTTAGTTCCTTTTGGACTCAGGTGTAATCAAAATATATTCATGGTTCAGTTGGAGGGATATGTGTGGAGTAGCTCTGCGCTTGAGGAGGTCAAATTTACATTCATTAAACTATTAAAGGTCAATAGGAATAGTTGTGTGATATAAAGCAATTGCGTGCCCTCATAATCACAATGAAAGAATAGTTTACTTTCCATCTCATCATATCCATGCACATAACTGAAATATTAAACTGATTTGAATTTTTTATCCTTTAGAAATAAACAGGATAAAACTTCATTTATTATAATTGATACACATATAACAAAGTCTTTTCTTTGTTTTCATGGCTTAGGTACATGTCACTGTGGCCGGTGTAAGTGTGATGATTCAGATGGGAATGGCCTCGTTTATGGTAAATTTTGTGAGTGTGATGATAGAGAATGCATAGATGATGAAACAGAAGAAATTTGTGGAGGTATGTATACCACCTGTGGAAACTCATAGAAGTGCCAGGTTTTTTTCACCCATTTCATTGTACTTTTATCTCTACACAAGTTTCTGCTCTTGGATTCAAATTCACTTTGAATTTATGATTATTAGGAAAACAGTCCACAGATGGAGAGCTGGAGAATAGGCTAGCATTTTTTAAAATGTGAAACTGCACTGTTCCTAGAAGAGAGCTGTATCATTTGACAACAAGCCAGTTGCACAGTTCGGAAGCAGACCTAGTGGGATGTCACCTTTTTTGCTCACCTCAGCCACTACAATTGTTCCTCTTTTTTCCTTATGTCTTAATTTCATGCTCTCTTCAAACCATAAACCTTCAAAGAGTGAAATGTCCTATTAAGACCACTGAAGTCTGATAGGATGGTTAGCTTAGAGATTACCTCTTCTCCCTGCCCCCTTTCTATGGGCTGTCATTACTCAACTCATTTTCCTGTTGTTCCATGCTTATACCTTTTGCCAGATGCCACAAACTTCAATAAATGCTTTGCATCCATCTATTTCACAACATCACACTAGGGTAAGAGTTAATTTGATCCCCATAGACAGACGTGGAAACTGAGACTTGGAAAAATTAGACAACTTACCCCAACTCTTCATCAGTTATGGTAGAATTTAGACACCAATCTGTCTGGTACTAGAGACTGTGTTCTTGACACCTCACCATTCAGAATTGCATTGGTGCTTTGGAGTTTAGAGATCCATGAGAAGAGCTCTTCCTCACCACCTGCAGTCCTCTTCTCTTCTCCTTACCTTCCTGCAAGCCTGTTCTGAGTTCGCAACCTGACTGGCAAAACAAACTGAAGGTAGACAGCAGTGGGAATCACTTAAGTTAGAAAACTTTTTCTCTGTTGTTTTTAAACTTATATTTCACTCATATTTCATAGGATATCAACCCATGAAATCCTGTTCTGCACATGGAAAGGCTGTTTTTCCTGAGAGGGTCAGGTACAAACAGGGTCTGAAGGAACCAGAAGTCCCTGAAGTGTCACTAGCAGGACAACTTCCCTTTAGTTTATGCTGCTCTTGCTTCCATTCCTGCTGTAGCATCATCTACTTATTCTTGCTTTAGACTTGCTTTGGCCTTCCTCGCTAGTCTCCTGACTATGCAATTCATCTGGATTAAAGAAAACACACATTTTCTGTTCATTTTATTAGGCCTGTGGCCCAAGCTAAATGCTGCTCAGGACATTCTCCTTAGGGTTTAGTCCAAAATAACGTAATTGATAAATCTACCTTTCAGTGTTTCATCTCCAGTTGTTACAAATCAAAAAATAAGAAGGGAACATGCTTTGGGGCCATTGTGTTCTGTCTCATACATACCACCAAAGCAACATCTACTTGAATGTATAAATATAAAAATTTAATTTAAAACAACACAACAGAAAATGCTTGACTCTCACCCATTTTATTTATTATTTTGCATTAATTGGGGCTTGGGCAATTTTATGGTGCAAAGTCTCTGACCACAGACACCAGTATCCAGTGACACGTTCTGGGGCCACCTTGCCTTGCATTGTAGATCTTCCCATGTGACATTCACGGGAAGCCAACCTGTTGAGAGATAGTTCTAGAGTCCATTAGTGAGACAACAACAAGATATTTTCTTGCTATATCATGTTATACAAAATAAAAAGTAACATTTATGGCCTAGAATACATATTGTTCTGAATCTTATATTTTATCTCAATCATTCCAACATGTCTTATAATACATTTTTGAATGTAAGGAGTTTTGATTCATCCCCAACATATATTTTTATTGTAGTGGTACATTTTAGCTATACATAGTGATAATGTTCCTAATAGGGAATTTGTACTGGTAAATGGTATAGTTTGCTTCTTCTTTTTTTCTTCATTCCCCTCCCCTTTTCAGCCCCTCTCTCTTCTTTATTTACAAAAGCTTTGCTTCCATTTTTCTTAATATTCTTTTTTTTTCTTGTCCATTCTTCCCCCCCTTACTCCTCTGTTGTTCCACTTCTCATGTGAATATTTTCTTCCTGTGTACCAATACCTATCACACTTTGGCCCTTATTTGGTCCTTTCAGTCTCTCACACCAGAGAATCCATGCAACATTTACATGTGTGTCCAATTTATGTCACTTAAGAGTGTGGTCTCAAGGTGCATCCATTTTCCTACAAATGTCTCAGCCTTATCCTTCTTTATGGCAGAGTAGTACTCCATTGGACAAAAACCCATATTTTTTATCCATTCATTGGTTGATGGGCATTTGGGTTGTTTCCAAGATTTACCTATTATAAACTGTAATACTATAAACACAGGTATGCATATATCACTGTGGTATGATGTTTTTAATTCTTTCAGGAAGATACCAAGAAGGGGAATAGCTGAGTCAAATGGAACCTCTAGTTTAAGTTTTTTGAGGAATCTCTACACTGATTTCTCCAATGGTTGCACCAGTCTACATGCACACCAACAGTGGAGAAGGGTTCCTTTCTCCCCACAGTCCCTTCAGCATTCATTACTGGTTGATTTCTTGATAATAACCATTCTTTCTAGAGGGAAATGGAATCTCAGTGCTGTTTTAATTGACATCTTTTGAAAGGCCAGTAATGCTGAACATTTTTTTTTTATATTCGTGTTTGTACTTCTTCATCAGAGAAGTGTGTATTCATTTCAAGTAACTTTGGAAGTATCTCTTCTCTTTCAATTTCATTAAACAGTTTGAGGAGTAGCAGCAGTAGGGGTTCTCTAAATTTCTTACAGAATTCAGCAGTGAAGCCTTCAGGACCTGAGCTTTTCTTTTTTACTAGGTTTTTAATTACATCTTCAATTTCATTGACTGATATTGGTTTATTTAGAATTTTTTTATATCTTCTTGATTCAACTTTTTTAGAGTACTGTAGTACCCTCAAATGTGCTTCTTGTATACAGAATATTGTTGGATGTTACTTCTCAATCCATTCTGCCAGTGTATTTCTCTTATTTGTGAATTGAGGCCATTAACATTGATGATTATAGCAGATATATATTGACTTATCCTTGTCATATTATTTTTCTGTTTTTGATCCCATTTTTTGCCCCTCTGATTAATTGCTTGCCTTGCCTTGTGGATTCATTCTGTTTAGGTGGAATTGTAGTCCTTGTTATAACTTTGCAGAATGACCTTCAGAACATTTTGGAGCACTGATTTCATGTTATGAATATCCTCAAGTGCTTTTTGTCATGGAAATATCTGATTTCTCCATCAATTTTGAAAGATAGTTTTGTGGGATATATCAATCTGGGTTGGAGATTGTTTTCTTTTAGGGCTTAAAATACTTTACTCCAAGCTCCCCTGCACTTGAGGGTTTGTGTTGAGAAGTCTGCTGTGATTCTAATTCATTTTCCTTACAGGTGGTTTGTTTCTTTTCTCTAGCAGTTTTTAATATTCTGTTCTTGTGTTGAATTTCTGAAATCTTGACTATTATATGCCTTGGTATAGATTTTTTTGATCATGATATGATATTTTCACATAAGGTCTGTGGGTATCTGTTTTAACTTTTTGTGTCTGCGTATATGTGTATCTGTACATAATTTTTGTTTATTTATCCTCATATCAATGATTGCTTAGGAAACCTTAATTAAATATTGAACTTTATAAGTAAACAGAGATCTTCATTGTAGAATATGTAGATTTATGATCCTTACCTTTGTGGTACCTTATATATAAATTATCTGAAATTACAGAGGAAATAAATGTTTATTTAAGTCTAAAAAGTTGATTGAATCTTACAAAATCTGACTTCTATGAAAAGCAATTAACACACAGTTACAATTTTTTCCAGGGTAATTCTCAAGTTCCCAATGCTTGTTATATAGCACCAGAACATGATTTTTTTGTGTGCACATGTAAAGATTTTTTCAGTCGATAAATAAAATATAAAAGTGATGTATATCATTTCCAATTAAATAATTTGATAATCTTTGCTTTTGCTTAAGTGATCAAATTAAAATGTGTTGAGAAAATTCCCATTGTCTCTAAAGTTAAGGAGAGGTTTTCTTACTTCCATTACAGCTCATTTAGACAGAAAACAGCATTATGTGCTTGAGTCCTTCTTTCTTTAAATCTCTCTAAAGTACTCTATCCTTTCATATTGTTCTTTCTCTTGCATGTATGTTTCCTTGATGGAAGTCACATCTTCTGGACATGAATTTCATAGATTAAATATTCTATAGTGTGTCCCACTTATGTGAGTTTCACTATTAGATCCTACAGTACTCTTGCCAAAGGGTAGATATGCCACAATGTTAGAATGAAAAATAGGCTATTAGGGATTGAAAAATAGCCCCATAGCTGATTTCCCTGGGCCCTCTGGAATTATGTCTATGGTAACAGAAGAGAGTTAGAAGAACAAATACTTTAACCATATAGATGAATAAAAAACACATTCCTAAAATAGAAAGAATAGATTTAAAACAAGAATTAGGACATCCATTCATGGTTGGGTAGCATAAGTACAAGGAGGAGAAGCTACAAGAAGTAAATTTGGGAGTCAGTGCCATCCTTTGGGAATTTGTAGAAGTCTGGCTAGACTTTCTTCACATCAGTGAAGTGATGTGAAAATTCATTCCAGTAGCTTGGCAGGATGTACAAATGGGCAGGTAACAGAGTATAAAAAAAAAGAATCCTGAATTGTGACATCTCAACAAAGTGATGGGTGCCCTTGGCTGTCATTTTTATCCTCTTTACACATAGGTTGGGTATTTGATTGTGAGACCAGAGTCTACAGTATTTCATTGGTCCAAATCAAGATCAAGTGTTGACTTAGCTGAGAAACTCTTTTCCACATAGAGGAACACAACAGCTTGTGGGACACAGTTGAATGAAAACTTGATCTATTACTTCTGGTTTAAAAATGGTTCGGTCATTAATAATGTGTATCTAACTTCATATCTGCCATTGTTTTCTCAGTAGTTGATTTCAAATGAGCTGTTTTAATGCCTAATTGAAAAAATTCCCTCAGAGTGAACGCTTATGACATGCGCTGGAGTTTGGTGCATGCAACTGAGGATGCAAAGGAATAGATTTTCCCAGACATTCATGTTATTTCTTTAAGACACTTTCATTTTAATCCGCTCTCTGTGTGGGCCAAGCTAAAGGACAGTTTGGCTTGCTTAATTTGTGTAATTAGGCAAATATAATTATGCAAATATAGAGTCCAGGTATGAGCTCCACTTTGATGTTTTGAGGAAAAACTCTGTAATTTGATTGTTTTAGCAAGAGATGTGCAGCTCGTATATTAAAAGCAAAAGTGATGATGAAGAGGTAGAAAGTTAATGCTGCTTTGCAAAGTTGCTTTTTCTCCTCACCGTGTAAAATTCTTTTGGGTAAAGGCCATGGGAAGTGTTACTGTGGAAACTGTTACTGTGAGGCTGGTTGGCATGGAGATAAATGCGAATTCCAGTGCGACATCACCCCCTGGGAAAGCAAGCGAAAATGCATGTCTCCAGATGGCGAAATCTGCAGTAACAGAGGTGCGTCGTTCATACATGTTACTACATAATTAGGAGGCAAACAGAACTCTTCGTTATTAACACTTCTCTGTATTTGCTTAAGGGCGGGAAGGAGTCATCTTTTATAATCATTTACTTTGATGTAAATTGATCTTTATTACACCAACAATCCTCTCTTTGTGGTTCTTTATTGAGTAGAAAGCAGAAAGATAAGAAAGTTTGTTGTCATACTTTAAGCTTCACTGGACAAATAGTTAACACAAGGACTGTCATTTCTTTGGCAGCCACCCAGAAGTGGCATGGTACAGCTAAAAGGCAATCCTTGTAGATACTCCTGCTAAATGTCTCTTGACTCACAGGACCATTGACAGTATGAGCATCTAATTATCCAGAGAGCATTCCAAAAACTCGCTTGTCTTAATTATGAGAAAATGGAAGGCTTGACTGAAAGGCTGAATTGATGTAGATGAACTTAACTTCTCTGCGCAATAATAATCATATGCTATTGAATACAACAGCTATAGTGGAAACTGTGTATCAAATAGCCACGTAAAATTTAGACTGACCTTAAATAAGACCCTTAAAAATAATTCACAAGAATAAAATGTAGTTAAAAGTTACTTAACTGTTGATATAAAGTCAAACAGTTTAAGCAGCTCTTAAAAATCCTGGAAATTATTTGTGATTTTTCCCTTTATCTGCTGTAGAGGTAGACAACAGAGAACCACCCAGTGACATATACAAAGGGCTGCAATGCCTTCTTTAAAAATTATAAAATCTAGTTAGCTGGAAAACTATGTTTTCATTTCTCTTAATGAGTGATTAACCCTAATAGATCTCTCTCTCTCTCTCTCTCTCTCTCTCTCTCTCTCTCACACACACACACACACACACACACACAGACACACGGAAGGCTCTAACAACCTTTGATACTGACGTGGAGGGATAGGGCATGTCCCATTTCTGTGCAGAGCAAAAGGGAAACAAAAATCTTGAATTTGGAACAAAAAATGAAAACTCATTTTAATGTCGATTGGATTTTCCTATACATAATAACTCACTCTGTGTTTTCTTTAAATATATAAAGACATTTTTTGCTGAAGTCCTATTGTTCAATAGGTGCAAACCCAACATTTTGTCAGTATGTGAAGCCTAACTGCACAACTGGAAAAACAAGCACTGGGGGAAGAAGATGGGGTGGGACGTGGACTGTTAGCAGGTTCTGCAGCAGGGTGGAGGGCGCTGAGCTGCAGGGAGCCCCTCGGAGACTCACAGTGGCCGCCTCTGTGGTCCTGCCTCTTGCTTGGGGCATTGGCATTTGCGGATCTGGCAGATGAAGAATGGGAGCAGCTTGCCTTAGTGAGTCACATAGGTTGTGAGCTCTGGGGGTTCAGGAAGACAGGGAAACAGCCTGCTCTGAGATGAGTCTCAGAATATGCTACCTGTGTCTAATCTGGCACCATTTCCTTTTCATTGCTTCCTTTGGTAAGAGAGAGACACTATTCCCTGCAAGTGTCTGCCTGGTTTTCCCTGCCAGCCCATCTCCGGGGACCAAGGAAATCATCTGGTAGACCTAGCTCTGTGGTGACGGGTAGTGTTCTCTGTTGCCCACTTGTCTTGGGGACAGCTTGTCCTGCGTGCCCCTTCAAACATGCCTGAATGTTGCTTCTTCTTCAGATCTGCTGCTCCTATCCCCGTTACATTTACACTGTCATGAAAACGATGCACCTCTGTTTTCAGAACCACGATAACAGAGTACACAGAGATTAAAAAAATGACCAATAACATTTAGATAAAACCCCCTTTCATGTTTCAGTATGGTTTTTGTACTAAAAATTGATTTATTTCTGTCAGGTTTTTCATTTACTCAAATTAACTTCTGTGACTTTCTCTCCCCTCTGAAGAAATATGGCCACTTATACCATCTTCTCACTAAACGCAAAAATTGAATCTTACTCTACATACTGATTTTTAATTTGATTTTTTCATTTTATATATATATGTATATATAAGCACAAAAGAGCCAATTATTACATTTAATGACTGCTTTGTGACCGGCATTATGTGTATATCATTACTGCACTAATTCCCTGTTGATTGATAATTGGGACACTGGTAGTTTTTCAATAAAATAAATACAATCATATTTTATATTCCCGAGCAGGTAATTCTGTGTGCTTTTGCTTGCTATTGTTGAAAGCGGCTGTTATGCTGAATAATAACATGTATCTAAGAAGTACATGTTGTGAATTCACCACCCAGAACATTGTACCATTTTACGCTGCACTTCAGAACTGCAGAGCACCCACTGCACCGCTCCTCACAGCCTGGGTCCTAGCAGGCTCTCTGAGCTGTGACAGTCTAACACCAGAAATCTTTCCAACTCTCCATTTTCCTGAAGATCTCTCACCCTGCCACCCTTAGTATTAATAGTAGGTGGAAGGGGTAAACAGCTTTCATGCTGATCATTATTTCTTTGTGAAGTTTTCTTGTCTTGTTCATTTAGGTACATTTAGCCTTTACATTTTTCTTCCTCAGAATTGTTTATGTGTTTGTGAACTAGCCCTTTGTCTTCTAAATTCATAGAAACTACTTGCTTCAGCTTTTATTAGTTCTTTCAGATTTTTTTAATGGTGTTTGATCCCTATCAAAATTTTAGACTTTTATATGATGAAGTCTGCTTCTTTATCTCCAGTTAGTAATTTTGCTTTGGGAGGTTCTGAGTAAAGTTATGGTTTTAATTTATATATTTAAGTGTACAACCCAACTGCTATTTTGATGAGAGTAGTTAAAATTTTTTAAATTTATTTTTCCCCAAATGATTGGATGATTGCCCTGAAAACAGTTTCACCGATGATCCTCACAAAGTACATATGGTATGATCTTTATGTATATCTAAGGTGTAAAGTAAATTAATTTTTAAAAAAAGATTTAAAAAGTAAATATGGCTCACAATGAAGCCCTTCCCAAAACAAATCTCCTGATGACCCAGGTGATGCATTTTAGTGTTTTCCAGCACCCTCCCTAATGTGGACTTGTCCACCACCTCAAACTTCCTTAACCTTCCACCACCTTAACCATCTTCCACCACCTTAACCTTCCTGCACCTGCATATGGGATCCATACCCACCCCTAGTGTCCTAGGACATTTCCCCTCCTTAGTACATCCAGAGCTTCTGCTTTTAATTACTCTAACTCACATGAATCTCTCCTTCACCAAACTTTTACATTGTTTCTTTATGGTTTACAAATGTTAGAGCTTATGCTCCTGTTCCTTGCTAGCCTCTCTTTCATTAGCCTTTGCTGTTGTTAACTAGATTGTGTAGTCTTTAAGGTCTAAGATTATCACTGCTGTCAATTGTTTTGATCTTATCATTGAAAGAAACTAGCATAGTGCTAATGACACACATCACAATCTCACATCATTATGAACATAGGTGATCTCTTTTGTTTACTTTTAAAGGAATTTCTGCTACAAATTTCAGACGATATTTCCCTGTTTTAGAACATTTTTTATCTGAATATGTATGTTTTCCAAAAACAAAAGAAGTGACAGACAAATAAAGCAGCAGATGAGGTCGATTTTTCCCCAGATTTTCTTAACTAGATCCGTATAAAGTTCCGTCTTCCCGTTTAGGGACTTGTGTGTGTGGGGAGTGCTCTTGCCATGATGTTGATCCAACTGGAGACTGGGGAGACATCCATGGGGACACCTGTGAGTGTGATGAAAGAGACTGCAGATCAGTTTATGACCGATATTCCGATGACTTCTGCTCAGGTAAGGGAACTCTGCGCCTTTATTTTAAATTTTAAAAATTCACTTCCCAGTTATCCAGATTTGCTCTGATTCTTGTAGACACTAAAAGAAACTGAACACAAGTTTGATGCATTCTGAATTTTCAGTGTTCCTACAAATAATTCGGGAAACCTCCAGACCCAAAAACCTGGAAACAAAACCAAAAATACCTCCGCTGGCAGAGGCTAGAAGTGGAAGCTCATCCATTCACTTAAAGCTAATCTAATTCCTTACCAAAGACAACCATCCTCTCCAGACAGGTGTATCTTCTCAACTCAATGGAGAATACAAAGCTAACGCACTTGACAAGAGTGAATAGGATAGTTACCATTAGGACAACTGTATTAAATTATTGCTAAACTTAGGATAACACAGCTCTCAGGGATTCTTTTATGTATTCACTTTTTGTTAAGATTTATACCAAAATTATGCTGTAATATAGTCTAGAACTGAATTATTAATTAGTAGATTCAAAAATTTTATGTCATTAATATTTATAGGGTAATACTAGTTTTCAGAGTCTGGGTGGTAGCCAGGATCAACCAGGGAGGAGGACAAACATGATACATGAACTTACGGAGCTCATAATCCAAACACCAAGAAAAAAATACACTCATCCAGCGTGTCAAACAGTGATGAAGAAAAGAAGGCAATCAGAGTTATCTGAAACTGAGGGTCATTTAGCAAAAAAGGAGTTACAGATTTTCAGTCTAGGAATGCTTAATGATCCAGAGGACAGACATATGTAGATACACTCGAAGCTGACTGCTTGCCTGGTGCCTAAAGACAGAAAGTTCCTCAGGTCTCCTGAAGGTAGATGAGAGAGCTGAGATAAGAGAGCTGCTCTGTTTAATTATGACTGCAAAAATTTGAGGGTTGAGGAGAGCCAGCTGCTAAAACTTCCCAGAAGGATTTCCCTTTTGCTTCCCAGGATTTTCTCAACATTTGAGGAACACTATTGTTTCAAGGGAAGTGTTGGTGTTCATTACACATGTGGGTGTTCTTTGTTATTATCATTATGAACCCAATGGTAATAAAACAACAGCAACTACTGAGTGGCTTCAATATGCCAAACGCATACTGAGGGTGTTAGGAGACGGGCGATTTGACCTTTGAATTCGGGTGATGTGGCCTTTCACAGAGGTGATGATGTTATTGATTGCGATGCCTGTGGGTTCTGCCTGAATGGCAGGTTTGCAGGTGATGAAAGGTGAGAAGGGCTTGTAGGTAGGCAGAATGGAGCAATATGACCCATACTGCACCAGAATCACTTTAAAATGACAGGAATATACAAAGAAGAAAGGGAACAGTAAAAGGTAAAGTGTGTGAGAAACCTCGACTGGAAGGTTTTTTACTTTGCTGCAGAAACAGACTTTATTTAAAGGGAAGGGAGTACTCTAGATGGTTTTAGGCAGAGAAAGGCTGTCGTCATCAAGATTTAATCTGGTTGTCTGGGTAAAGGTTGGTGCCATTTACTAAAGTGAGGAGAAAGGAAGAAGTTATCAAGTTTGTTCTTAGCTGTGAGCATAAAAGACAAATGGCCAACCAAACTTAGTATTTTTTCCAGCCTGTTGAATATATGGGCCAAGCCCAAACATAAGAATTTAGGAATTTAGGCACACCACTGGTAATTAAAACCATCCTAGTTCGGGAAACATCACTTATGAATGCCATTTTAAGACTATCTGGAGATCAACATGAAATCACATGATTTAAAATTTAAAATTAAGGAGATAATTACCAGGCTGTATCTAAAAATCATGTTTGTGACTTGCTGATATGCCCCCCTTTAACCTGAACACTTTCTACCTTGTTAGACCCATGATTCTGATCCTGATCCTGAGTTTTGAAAGAGGTTGAAAAAACTGAAATGACTACCGTACAGTAGTGATATTCGGGTGTTCTGTGAGCTGGCCTGTTGCACTGTGAGGGCATGGTTCCTGGGGTGAGGGCAGGGGAGGACTTCTGTTGATGTTTTTCTCTCCTTTCTTACCTTCCTAGTTCCCACCACGTGTTCCTCAGCCTTAGAGTTAGTGCCGTAGCTTGAGCAGTTGATGTGCTTTCAAAGCGGCCTCATAGGAATCTAGTTTTCCATATCACCTTGTCTTGGTTACTTTTCTCTCATTGCTGGGACAATATATATGATGCCCAAAATTAAGGAAGGAAAGGTTTACTTTGTTTACAGTTTGTGGAGGTTTCAGTCCATATTTGGCAGGTTACAAGGCAGAGTGGCACAAGGCAGAGGGCTACCGCTCATGGCATCTGAACACAGCAAAAGCAACAAACACAAAAACCAGGAATAGCCGCAAGCAGCCTCTTCCTCCCCCTTACATATGCAAACTATCCACCCCAGGGCGGATGTAGCTCTCACACCCGTAATCAATCAAACTCTAAAAGCCTGCCCCATGGCCACATGAGGCTTTGGGGGGACAGCCAGACACAAACCATAACACACTTATTCCTCCCATTTTCCTCTTGCTCATATTTTCCCTCCTTCCATATCCTATGAGATTTCAGAGGTGCCTGGGTGGTCATGGCCATGGGGTTATTGAGATTCTTGTCATTCATTGGTTCAGCGTGACGTGTCCTCCACCGCATGGCTCCGAGCCCTAGGATGAGGAACCGAAGACAGAAGCAGCAGCTCCCTTTAACGGATCCTATTCTGTCAGAATTTAGTGAGTTCTTTTGTATACTTAACTCCACTTTATTTTTGCGCATCTCAGGGAGGGAGACATTAATATCTGCATTTCAACAGAGGAAATAATTTCAGAGAAATTAAGTACCTTGATGAGGTTCATTCTGCCTTTAAGTGTTATCTGAAAACACATATAGCCTAATACTCTTGTAATTTAATCCACAAGTGATACAAATAAAATTCTTCAATTTTACCCTATGTTGATGAGGAAGCCTCAGGATGCCCAAGTTATTAGAAAACTAAGTTTTCTGAACATCATGATGATCTGAATAGCTATCAGTCGCTGGAGTATTTCTCCATGCTTACTAGATCTGTAGAATTCTATGTATGATGCTGAGAGAGTTATGAGACTTTATGATTTCCCTAATTACCAGTAAGTTCTATAGAAAGGATGTCATGCAGTTCATTAGGTACCATGTGAATGTCTTTGTATTACAAGGCAGAAGTAACACAGCATCAGTATTCTCTAATGATTCTTGCAAGGCTGATCTGTAATAAAGCTCATATGCAATGCAATTTTATTTTTAGCTCCCTTTCTTGTCATTCTGGGGATATTGGTTTTATTTAAGTCCAAGGGAAGTCTCTGAGTGGATTAGTTTAAGGTGATCCTTTTAATTGATATTCTTATTTTATTTTTTTGTTCTACTCTAGCTGTTCATCTAATCAATAATACACTCACATGTAAACATTTTGTGCTTACTACATTATGGTGACAGGAGGTACCAATACACTGACATTCTATCTGCTCCCAAATGAGTCAGTATTTCTTTCTTTCTTTTTTCATTCCTCTCTGTTGTCCCTCACTGACATGTTATAGTTGATACTATGTTCACTCATCTATACACAAACATGAATCAAACACACAGACCCACACATGCACCCTTGAAGAAAAGACAACTGACAAAATTTTGAGTGTGACATTGACCAGGGCATGGCCATTCAAAATATACATTGAACATTTTGTTTGCCATACTCAATTTATTTCTTGATTCTGAAATAATTCCTTTATTCCAGAAGGCTGCTTAGCATTCTGGTTTTATTTCCCCAAATCCTGTAATTGGAAAAATTTAGCGCAGTATGAACTTAAACTTTATTTCTCAGCTTGTTCTGCCTAATGAAATGAGAAACATAGAAGAGTAGTCTTGATTTAGAATTGCATTAGTTTGAAAAAGGGAATTAATTGATAGAACTATAGTACATAAGGAGGGTCATTATTGTGGATTACTAAAGTGCTAAGGAAAACACTGATGAAAATGATTAAGTATATTCAACTTGCTTTGTCTTAGAAGAAAAATCAATATATTGAATAGCCTAGATTTTGAAAATAGCAAGTACTCATTAGATCTAATTTATTCCTTGAAGCTTCCCCGCCTTAGGGGTTTAAGTGTTATTTTGTGAGCAACTACTTGTGAACATCAGGTTTGCATTCCTGGGTACATTTTGATTATTTAAAAGCCTCCACACTAGAAACAGGTTTTATTTGGGATAGTATCAGTTGCATTTGTCCTACATTGGTACTTCTAGAGTTTAAATAGATTCACACAAAAGACCACAATGATACAAATAAAAATGACATTGTGATGTCAGCACTGTTCGTGTAATAGGCAGATTCTTCATAGATGCTGCCTTTCAAGCATGGCCGTGGTGCTGGTCGTGGTAGGAACTCTCTCATCCCTGTGGTGTAGATTGGCCTTTACTTGCATTTGCAGGAAGTGGATTATGCCAACAATAAGCACTGCATACTCTTCCATTGTTGAGGTGTACTGAGTCTGTGTGTGTGTGTGTATGTGTGTGTGTGTGTGTTAGTGCATCTACACAGGTTTTCTGAGCATGCTTCTCTTATTTGAATTCTTCTAGTGTTTGAGATCAGAGATAAATCACAAGATTTCCTATCTTTCACATCTACATTGTTGAGCTTCTGTCTACACAGTTTAAATAATTTTTGTTAGAAGCAATGAAATTAACTCCTACAGCCTTAAAATATTCACAGATTTGACAAATAAGCATGGAAGAATTACATTCTAAATCAATGTAGAAATTTTTACTTGTAGTTCCTTCAATTTGAAAAATAAATTAAATCAAGATGAAGTCCGGAAGGAATAATGGTACATATAAATCAAGGACCAAGTCGTCTAATTTCTTTTCCTATGCCTTTTTCACTACCTGTTTATAGAAGACCCTGATATAATATGTTAGAAAAGTCTACAAGGTTTTCATGCTAAATGGATCTCATAATTTCTTAACCCTTCTTTAGCAAAACCAATAGAAATTTTTACCTGCCTGGTTT